AGCACACAGTGGATGCAAAATAAATGAGCAGTATGCAGTCTCCACATTCTACCTGAGTTTTGTCCTGGCTCAATTATTTGCTAACAGTGTGACCTTGGACAAGTTGCTTAACTTCTCTGTGCTTCAGTTGCTCTCTGTTTTAAAAGGAGATGATAATATTATCTACTTCATAAATTGTGGCAATAAATGAGATAATGTATGTATTTAGCACAGTACCTGGCACATAGTAATAAAAAAGTTAGCTATTAGAATTATTATAATATAATGCAGTATAAGCCCATATAATATGTTGCTTTGAAATAGCCAGCATCAAAGAAAAGGCCATATATTTCAAAGCACTTATTAACGAAAACTTAGATAATTAAAACAAAAAAGAAATCTAATACCTAATATGCTTTGCATCATTTATGTTTCAGTTTTGCATTTTATTCTCACTCATCTTGGATAATGAAACCATACCAGGTCTCATAATTGCCCTTCTGCAACTAACTGTTCAGTATTCAGTTTCTTGAATTTTTCAGCAAGGTTCATCTTCCAGCTGTAATGCATTAACATAATACTACTATGCGGATGCTTCCAATACTGCATATTACCAAGGAGAAACATTCTCAGCAACAAATTTTTACTTTCAAGCTGATTAAAAATTGTGAACATTTTTTTGTCACATACCCACACATATATACACATATCTCTTTTAATAATGCAATATATACATTATTTTATACTCCCCATCAGAATTAGTTTTATTATTAAACATATTTATTAAGAATAGTTTAGGAATATTGAAAATAATATTATATGTGTACACACACAATGTTCTTCTGGGGAAAAAATGGTCTTAAAAAGCCTTTTACTTTTCTTTGGTTATTTCTGTGAAATTCATATTAAACTGATGCTTTAGTCTTTTCTAGCTAGAGTAAAATAACATTTTAAAGTCTTTCATATCAGAGGACTCGACATTCTCTTGATAACTTATCTTCCTTTCACTCTCTGCTTACCCACCAGAAATAATCTTGGGCTTTTCTATGTAATAAAAATATATAGTATTCCATGAAAGAATGCAACTCTTAAAAATACAGTGTAATGAAAGTACAATTAGGGAAAAATTATATCGTAGAATATTATAAGAAGATAAGGGCTTTATTATTTTCTTTTTTTTTTAAGATTTTTTTTTTTTTTTTAATTTATTTGAGACAGAGAGGATGGGAGAGAGAGCACATGAGAGGGGGGAGGGTCAGAGGGAGAAGCAGGTTCCTTGCTGAGCAGGGAGCCCGATGCGGGACTCCATCCAGGGACTCCAGGATCATGACCTGAGCCGAAGGCAGTCGCTTAACCAACTGAGCCACCCAGGCGCCCGGGCTTTATTATTTTCTAATATCCACTCAAACTGGAATAATAAATGTTATCCCATAGAAGTTCTTTCCTCTTTCAAAGGTATTTTTCATTTTACAAAATTGGGATCACCCACTATCCTGAAGAAAAGGACGCTGTCCTCTATTAATCGTTTCCGTATCACCTCTTGGGCTAGCACAGCCATGTTTTGAGATTTGTGTGTAAGCAGCTTCAGAATTCTTCCATCTGTGTTCCTCTGTTGTGTTCTGGGCTTTCTGCCATGTTCTTGGGAAGCACCTCACACCACTACACTTTCATATCTCTTCCCTTCTGCCCATGTCCAAGTTTATTTCCCAGACTGACAAACTGTTCATAATTTTTTATAGGGAAATTTAGCCTTCCCTTTATCTAATGTTGCCCATCAAGCTATGCCCAAAAGGACCTTGACTTTCTCAACTTGAATATCTCATCCAGATTTATCTAGTTTTTTTTTTTCCTTAACAAAAGAATCATTCATGTGTGATATAAGTGTTGCTCCTCCCAAGAAGGCAAAAAATAGGGTCTTCTTTCTTTTTTTTTTTTCTTTCTTTTATATAAAACAAGATTGTAGGGCTTTTTTCCTCTCCACTATGTTGATTTTTTTTCCAACAAATATTTAAAAGTGTGTTCAACATGTAAAACTTGGTGCAGAACAATTCAGTCTTTATTTTCAATAACTCACTTTACAGGACCGAACCCCAAGAAGGTGAAACAGATAGCTACATAAATATGTTCTGGTGTCTTCAGGAAAGAAACAACTTCAGATGTGTTCATGGAACCTCTGCCAATTATTTCTGAGGTATCATGGAGAATGGGGAAGAATCAAGAAAACTGAAGATGAGTCTATGCTGATCTGATTTTATTAGAAAGGAAAAAAGATTCTGTGAACTGCAAACCAATGAGTTTGACATCAGTCTCTAACAAAATGTGGACAAAATTATTAAAGTAAAAGTGACATTTTGAGATGATGTCAGTGACTATTAAGAATCAGTATGGGGGGCGCCTGGGTGGCTCAGTTGGTTAAGCGACTGCCTTCAGCTCAGGTCATGATCCTGGAGTCCCGGGATCGAGTCCCGCATCGGGCTCCCTGCTCGGCAGGGAGTCTGCTTCTCCCTCTGACCCTAACCCCTCTCATGTGCTCTCTCTCATTCTCTCTCTCTCAAATAAATAAATAAATAAAATCTTTAAAAAAAAAAAAAGCATCAGTATGGGTTCGGGGCACCTGAGTGGCTCGGTTGGGCGTCTACCTTCAGCTCAGGTCATGATCTCAGGGTCCTGGGATTGACCCCGCTTTGGGCTCCCTGCTCAGCAGGGAACCTGCTTCTCCCTCTCCCTCTGCTGCTCCCCCTGCTTGTGTTCCCTCTCTCACTGTGTCTCTCTCTGTCAAATAAATAAATAAAACCTTAAAAAAAAAAAAAAGAATCAGTATGGGTTCACTAAGAACAAAGTAGTTCCAGGTAAAGTATATTACTTTTACTCTTAAAAAAAAACCAAAAAACAGTATAACTGAATTTTGGTAAGTCTTTTAATCAAAATTCTCATACATTCTTAGAAGATAAGTTAGACTAGTTTATAGTATGGTTAGAAAGTTTCCAAAAATGGCAGAATTACCTCTTTAAGAACGATGAAGAATGAATTTTGGAGTCTCAGAACCTCGTCGGTTCAACTTGAAGCCCTGCAATTTATCAGCTATGTCAATTTGTGCAAGTTGCATAAACTTCCTGAACCTTAATCTCCTCAACTGTAATGAGGGATTAAAACTATCTAAAACTATCTATGTCACGGGCGCCTGGGTGGCTCAGATGGTTAAGCGTCTGCCTTCGGCTCAGGTCATGATCTCAGGGTCCTGGGATCGAGTCCCACATCGGGCTCCCTGCTCCTTGGGAGCCTGCTTCTCCCTCTACCTCTCTCTCTGTCTCTCATGAATAAATAAATAAAATCTTTAAAAAAAAAAAAACTATATGTCATAGAGATGTTGTGCTTCTTACATGATATAATGTACATGAAGTGCTTTTTGCCTATCTTCACATAAGTGCTCAATAAAAATGATAGGTGTTATATTTTATTCTCATGAGCTAAGGGTGATGGAGTGTTGTCAATCTGAAGAGAGATTTCTGAGAACTGTACTATCTTTTTTTTTTTTTTTTTTTTGCCACTGATTTGAAAGAAAACATGGAAGTCATAATAATTATACTGGCAGTGTCCTTGCTTTGCTGTGAGCTTTTTCAGCAAAGTGACCGTGTGTCTTTGCCTTTGGTATCATCACTGCCTGATATCGTGCCTGACCCATAGTAGCCACGCAGATGTTTCTCCAAGAATGACACAAAATAAAATATAGTAACTAAGATATCGGGTAGTAAAATCAGGATTCAAAAATGCCACGAAGAATTAGAACAATGACCAGTACTAAATATGAGCTGTAGTATGCATGGATATAAAGTCCTCTATTTCCAGGGGTGCCTGGGTGGCTCAGTCATTAAGCGTCTGCCCTCGGCTCGGGTCATGATCCCGGGGTCCTGGGATCGAGCCCCGCATCGGGCTCCCTGCTCCGCGGGGAGCCTGCTTCTCTCTCTTCCACTCCCCCTGCTTGTGTTCCCTCTCTCGCTGTGTCTCTCTCTGTGAAATAAATAAATAAAAATCTTAAAAAAAATAAATAAAGTCCTCTATTTCCATCCAAAACTTCAACGGCAATAAGAACACGTCGACAGAGGCTGGATTAGAAAGAATTTGGTATGAAAATATTTAAACATTTTAGTTTTGTAAAAGTTCAGGAACTAAGAATATGATAATGATGCCAAGCCCTCCTCAGAATGCATTTCCTGCCTTCATAAAACTCTAAATTATTAGAAATAGAGTGCAGAACAAGACAGGCATCTGTATCCACGTACTTTGCATAATTAGACCATGTCTCAAGTAATGCATTCAGTTCTGATGCCACATTTAGAAGAGACAGGGACAAACTGGAATCTATCCAATATGGTGAGAAACCTTAAAAGCCATCTCATATTAGAATGATTAAAGGAATGTTCAGACTGAAAAAAAAGTAGACTTAGGGGAAAATGATAGCCATTTTTCAAATAGTTGGATAACTTTCATGTGGAATAGGGATTAAATTTATCCTCAAAGCTTCACGAAGCCTCAGAAAAAATTCATACCAAAGAATAGACAGTTCAGGAAGATATTGGTCGAAAATAAGGAAGATCTCTATCTAAAATCAGAATGGATCATCTTAGACTTACTAATGTATTCTCTTCAAAGTTATTTAATTTCAATTTATTTAGAAAATGATTACCATTTGCACTGATATGCAAACCTTGCATAAGCCCTGTACAAGAAGGAAACCTTCAAGAGTTTGCAGGTTAGTTGATTTATATCATTTACAGTGTCCACATACACAGTTATAAATGTACCACTATTTACTTAGTAAAAATCTATGAAATATCATTATGTACATGTCAGTTTTGTGCCAGCTAGTGGGCAGGTTGAAGAAAAGGCAATATTACATAAGAAATTTTTCCTTTGGGTAGCATATTGGGCCAAACTTTGATATTTGAATTTAGATCAATCCCCCCTCCAAAAAAAGGAAGAAGAGTTTTCTTGATTTAAATGTCACTGAGGGGGATACTTACCTGGCAGGGGAGATACCATGATCACGAAGGTGGTTTTCCCAAGGCGAGGCTTATCCATTGCACTCCGGATGTGCTGACCCCTGCGATTTCCCCAAATGTGGGAAACTCGACTGCATAATTTGTGGTAGTGGGGGACTGCGTCCGCGCTTTCCCCTGGTAAAAAAAAATAAAATAAAATAAAAAATAAATAAATGTCACTGAGGAATTGAGGAGTCTAAAAAATTAATAGCCCACCACTTCCAGAGTATACTGATAAAATGGCTAGAAATTGTAAGTCAAAGACATGCCATTTATATATATTGAGCTCCTTATTTTCTAGACTTTGTTGTGGTCATGCTATATTTACAAGGATTAATAAAACATATAATGTTGTCATGTTTCTAAAATCTTCTCTTGCCACTTACAAACCCGAATTCCATTTATACATACACCTATAAGGAGATATGCAGTCGATCAACTTTTTTTAAATACCACCATTAATTTAAAAAAAAATTGACTACCAGCTGTCTATTGTTCCTTAAGGTGTAAAAGAGTCCCTTTTCTTAAGAAGTTTACAGAAAACTTCTCCTATATCCTTCTCCCATAAGACGTAAAAGAATCATAACTAACAAATGTATTTAATTTGCTATCAGAAAGTTTAAGAGCAGAAAGTACAACATATGCAGTCCTGTTCATTTTAAAATTGATTGGGGAACTTCAATTTTCTTTGCCTTTTGTTTTGCAAGTGCTTGCTTAAAAAAAAGGTTAAACTATAGTAATTCTCTATGCTTATAAAAGCTATATTTTTAGGGAATGAACATCAAAAAGAATATATTTTTACTAAATGGTTAATTAGAAGAGAATGGTTTCTAAAAAGGAAACAAACAGAAAGCAGTAGAACCGCCTAGTCCTGCTCAGTGCAGCCCAATCCTGATTCAGCAAATAGGTATTTGCCAGTAGCAATGAGCATTGTGTACTACAATGACGGTGCTGCTTAACTCGATACTGTTCCCACACCTCTGTTAGTCGGACCCAGTGCGTGGGTAACTCATGAAGTCCCTGGGTACCTGAGCGAAATTTTGAAAGCATGGAGGTTATGAGGGTTTAGAGACAGGTGGAACTGGCTACATGATCACGGCCACGCCCACCTCTTAAACTGCACTTGGCAACGAAATTCATGACAATATGACACCTGTCTGCGTAGGAAATTCATGACAAGACAGAAGGGCAGGCTTCGGATCACAATAATAGTGACTGTGATCTCCCCAGAAGCCTCTCCGGGAAAAACTCAATACTCCTTTCTCACTTGTATGCCAACTGGAATTTGAAGGGAGCTTGCTAACTGATGTTCTATGTGGACCCAGAAGTACTACTGGGAAGGTAAGGGCAATTATATCTCTTGGTTTGATCACTAGAGATTGATTATAAAGGGATTCCCTGCTCGATCTTTCCTTTCAAACGTAGATAACTGGGGCAATCTTCTTGGCAGTGTATTTCAGGGTCTTGAACTTGAGGGATAGAACTGTTTGGTGCCTGCTCTAAAAAGAGACACCCAGCCCCTGCGAATAGTTATCTGTGCAGTTTCTGGCTAATGGGATACAGAGGAATGAGGACGATGGTGAGCTGTCGTTGAGTGTTAAGGAGTGATTTCAGAGGAATGTGTCAAAGCAGCTCATCTCCCGGGCACTACATGACAATGTTTTTTAGTAGCCACCTGTATCCAGAGATTTAAATTTATGAAAGGAGAATCGTAAAGATATCTTAATTGCTCTAAGGATGTCTTTTCAAAGGAATTGTCACAGAAACAGTTCCTTCAAAGGAACTGAGAAACCAAAGGGTGATGGCTTTATTATGGAAGAGCTGAGGAAAGCCTCGGCCCCTAGAAGTTAACGTTTATGGATCTCTTTGGCAAATAATAGTCTCCGTTGCAATACTGCTGTGTTTGATGAGGATTCAAAAAGTCTTAATCAAATCTAGCAGTTATTCCTGCTTCTTTCTCTCCTAATCTTTCTGATCCTGAATTATGAGAGCCTTATCTATGAAAATAAAACACCATTTGTTAAAGCCTTTTCAAAATTAAGACAAAAGCCATCAAAACTAATTGTTTGCTACTATCAAACAAACAGGTTTTTTAAGTTTGATGAATTGTTTGTAAGCACTAATCAAGTGGGTGGAGTCATAAAAGAGGGAGGGAACCAACTGAGACAATATATGTAATTTGTTTGCATTATTATTTGAGATAATTACAAAGCAGGCATTCAAAAGCTGTTCTTTATCTTCATACCAAAAGGGAGAAAAATAGGGAGGAGAGGAAAAGCACAAGAACACCCAGCCATTGTCAGCTGCAATCTAAAATATTGCCGGATTCACAATTGTCGAACATTAGCATTACTAAGAATGCCAGGGACAGAAGTGTCACGTTGAATGTAGAGTGATGACTTCATAGGAAAGCAAAGCTGAGGATATGACCAGTTTGCAGTCACAGAGAAATCAGCTTTAATTAATTTGAGTGCCAGCTCTGTGCATAATTACACAGCATGAGAGTTTGCATGCAAATGCGGAAATGCTGATTGTTCAAATACTTGCTCTTGCTCATTAATACGTTGGGACTAAGCAGGGCTGGCAAGCAGACAAGGTACAGCACACACACAGTGCCTGCAGGCTAATTTGTATTATACCGTAGTTAGCAAACAGATTTCAGATGTTTCTCCTTTCTTTAAATAATAAGCACAAAAATATGTGTGTCATTTTCATCTGTGACATACCTTGTTTTCTTCTTGATTAAAATAAAATGTTTTGGGTTTTTAAAAAAACTGTTGAGGGTACACTAAACATTGCTGAAAGGCCGATCTGTAACAATTGGATGGCAGTAACATTTATACCGGTTAGGCTATTTCTATTTGACATTCATGTAATTATCCGAAGAGGTCATTTTTCATAATTTTGGTGAAACTATATTCAAAAAAGTTTCATTGATAATTAAATCCCGGGAGGAAGAAAGCAGTGGTCACAGCTGAATTGTCTACTTGTCTACCAAATCTAGTATCTTGTGGCTAGCTTCAGCTCGGGCTAGAGGCATCAAGAAAAGGACTGCTTTCTTCAGGAGAGCCTCTAACCCTAAAATGTACTGAGGTGAGATTTTCCAATCAGACCACTGAATCTCTTAGCAGAGATCAACTTCAACCAAATTCCTAACTTCCTTGACAATGCCTCAGGGAAAAATCTTAAATCACAACCCCAGGAATATGTGATACTTTCTTCAGAAAATAGTATAAGAAAATAAGGAATTTGCCAAAGTCCCCAAAACCTGGTACTACTATCAAGTGCTACCTATTTCCTTGGCCACATTTCATGCATTTCAATTCTACAAATATTTAGGGAGCACCTCTTTCTGTCAGAGGATAAGAAGTAAGGAAGATAGACAAGGTAACTGCCTTTGCCGTCTCTCTTCTCTCGGGAGTTGTACAAAGGAACCTAACTCAGTTTCTCTGGGAAATACATGCTATTAGCAGTTATTACCTTGTGGAGAAGCCCACATTACCGAAACTTGAATCTATGGCCTTCCGTAAAGAGAGTTCTCATGGCCTTTCTGGGAGACTAACTCCCTTTCTGACTTTTCTTTGACCCTATTGTGTTAGATAAAGGGAACTGCCTCTTCCTCCAGGGCTGAATGGATACTGTGATGGATCTGTCAAACAGTCTATCAGGCGAGCCCCAAAGCCCATCTATAGAAGAATAGATTGAAGAGGAAGGCTGTCAATATCCTTTTCTGAAGGCCTATATCTGTAAGAATAGTCATTTCTCAAGGAGGCAAGTTGGACACATCCCATGGATGGATATAGGACACTTCACACTATTTGGTCTGACCAAAAGTAAGCAGTCATCTACTTGTCTTCTAAGCTCAGTATATGACATGCTGGTGATAAAGTGTTCACTAATATGACCCTTCCTTCCTTCCTAAAAAGTCTGTTCAAATACCCCACTGCCAAAGATTTCCTACAGATATGAGATATGTGTATGTATAAAGAAAAAAGGGGAGAATAAAAACATTCATACCCACCACCGAGGCTCCCGCTTCACTTTGGGGCCGGTCATAACCCTTTCATCCTACATATAAAAAATATGCAAGGAAGGAAGGAGAAAATCCAGAGTAGTGCAAGAATTCAAGGGTGTCTCCATGATGTGTACATGGTAATTGGGAAACAGCAGTTTTCAATGGCTAACTATAAATTCCAAGTACCCTGAGCTGAAATAACTTTTCCTTGAAGCTCTATCACGGTCAGACACCCATAAATCAGAAAGCAAAACAAAAATAAGCCAAAATAAATTCCCCAAATATATATACATTAAGAAAATTCTATCTGGCTGGGATGAAAATATTATATATATGTATATATATTATATATATATAATATAATATAATATATACATATATATGTATATATGTATATGTGTGTGTATGTGTGTATGTGTGTGTGTATATATATATATATATATATATATATACACACACACACACATACACACACATATATTTGAGATGTGGATATATTGGTATCTACCAAGGAGAGCAAAAAAGTCTTAGAGGATGTTACCTTCAGAAAACGACTTCTAGTGTGGGGTTGTGATGATATATGAAAAGACCTCTATTGGTGGATGATGCAAGTGATTTCATGCAACAATTACAGGGTCAGAAGGAAAGAGAATAAACGTGTAGAGAAGAAAGAAGAGGACTTACTATGGAGATGGAAGGTGTTCAGGAAATCTGAGGAAGCTCTAGGCTGTAATAGTCATGAAGAAAGCTCGTAATCCTGTGTAGAGGCACAACACACCAGGGTGATTCAGAATGGTCTACTGTGCTGATTATTACAGACTGAGAACCATAGATGGGCTGGCAGCAGCTAATGATTCAGCAAGGCTTAGGTCAACAAGAACTGTTTCCACAGATTCATGGGTGCAGAATACATCCTTCAAGGGCATGAGAAGAATGAAGGTGATAATAACTAGAAACAGAAAATGTGTGGAATCTTTATTCAAAAAGTGAAAGGAAAGAAGTGAGGCAAGAAAACTTTTCTAGGAAAGTGGAGAGTTGACCATGCTTGTAGAGGAGAAAAGAGCTGCTGGAGCAGGAACAATTTGGAGTGCAGGAGGAAATGTCTCCTTAATGGGGCAGG